CACCGGGGGGGGCGTGTCGGCGCCCGGGGCCGGCCAGTAACCCACACAGCGTCGGCCGTCACGGCTGCAGGCTCCGCGGAGACCCCAGGCAGCCACCTCTGGCCTGCCGAGTGCTCGCTCCTGAGCGGGTCTCTGAGCACATGTGAGGGGTCACTCTCTAGCCAGGGAAAAGAGGCCAGGGCGTCCGCGCGAAGCTCGTTAAGCCAGGGGCCAGGAGAGCAGGCAAGGCACAGGTGGTGTCTGGAGGTCAGGCGTTTTCCACACCACGCCCCGGCGAGCTGCTGAGCTGCGTGTGCTGGGCTCGATGGGACCACAGCAAGTGGGCCAGAGCCAGCAGGATGCAGGGACACTGACAGACCCAGGGCATACTGCCGAGGACACCCCAACAGTTAGCCAGACACAGGGACACTGACACCCCTGAACTGCACTGCAGAGGACACCCCGACAGTCAGGCTGTGGGTTCAGTAGGCTGCTGGAACTGCCGTCAGGAAAGGCCACCCTCAGCATGCACGAGTTGGGGAAATGCCAGCCAGGACGCTGGGCCGGGGAGAACGGCTAGGAGCCAGGACGCTGGCTGGCAGACAGCAGGCCGCCTGCACGTGTCACAGGGGAGTAGCCATGAGACGCCTTCCTAGCGGGAGTCGGGGGAGCACGCAGTACCAGGGCAGTGCTCCTCAGTGGGGTGGTCGGCTACACCGGGCAGGGGTCGTTTCTCCTCCAGCCACACAGACGGACCCCAGGGAGAGCGTGCCCCACGGGCCATGCTGGCAGCCGTGAGCACGATAGGGACACACGTGGGCTGATGTCCGCTTGAGGAGAGACTATTTCTCACCTGCTCAGGGCACGTATGATGTAGACAGAACGTGAGGGCACACGTAATGCAGACAGACAGGCGTGGCGCTGTGCAATGGCCGCCTTGCTGGCAACATGTGTGCACCGTGCTCTCACACGAACGCGCACATGCATGCACCCTGTTTTACATGCCTGCCCTCCCGTGTGACTGAGACACGCGGTCCCGCCCACGGCAGAGGCCCCTGGTCTGCCCTCACATTGCAGTCCTCCCCCACCAGCCACTCGTGTGGGTCTACAGCGTGTGTGGATGCTGGCTGTTGGGATCAGAAAGAAGTTTTTGTGCGGAGGAGACAGTGCCCAGGGGGAAACTTGCACCAACTGAAGAAGCGGCACCCGTCACTCTTCTTCCACTGAATGCCGTCAACTCGAAGTCGCCACGCCTGCACGTGATGTCCGGCCCCATGGCAGCTGCACCGTGGCACACGAGCTGCGGAGTAAGCTACCCACAGTCCCCGCGCTCAGGCTTCTTTCTGTGTTATATTACTTATTCTTTCTTCTTTAAGTTCTATTTTCTTTTTTTAATTTGCTAGAGGTCACGTGCTTGCCGGGGGCGGGGAGGGGCAGGATGGTCCCCCGCCCCCAAGGGATGGTCATGCTGCAATCCCTTTTCCATTTCTCCTTCCTTTTGAGATTCTGGGCACAAATGCACACGTGTCTGGCATGTTGTTCAAGATGCTTGGTCTAGCACTCAAACTGAGCAGTCAGGCACGTGGGACCCAGTCACCTTAACCACAGTGCATTGGCTGGCCCGGTTTAAGCTCGTTCGAATGTTGTTTTGCTTTTGCGTTTTGGTGTTTTTTGCTATCGGCAGCTGAAAACCTAATTGATAGGAAGAGATACAATCTATCCTAGATCCCTTCTGTTTTCCTTTCCCTAACTAACCAAACTCTGATTCTGTTTGGAAGGGGAGCAGATGGTGCAGCCCTAGGCCATGGGGGCAGATTAAGCTGACTGACAATCCTGCAACCCTTTTCCAGAAGCCCCTGCAATTAGGAGCCATCGATGGTCTCAGTTCAGCTAGCAAGACTCAGGGTAACTCTGCTGGCCGGGGTGGCTGCTGGGGACACTCTGGCTTCTGGATGTCCAGTCCAGTCCAGGCCGGCGCTGGCCTTTTCCTTCCTCAAATGCAGTCATTCCGTAACCATGAGGGACATCCAAGAAAATGGCAGTCAAGCTGGAACTCCTCAGCCACTGACCGGCACCAGCACACACCTACCTCCTCTGCGAGAAACCAACCTCGGGCTGGCCCCGTGGCCCGCGGGAATGCACCCTCGTGGTGCTGGACCCCACATGGTGGCCACAGTCAGAGTCCCTGGTCCAGTTAGCCTGAAACGCACAGGGGCTGGGGACTGAGAGGGACCAGGGTGTGACCACATCCCACAGGGCCTGGCCCAGCTCTCTCACACTTTCTACCATGAACAAAGAACTTAAAAAAAAAAAAAGATTTCTCTAAGTTACTGTTAGTTGGTTAATCAGTTTACTAAATCCATTTCCAGAATTTGCGGCCAAGTTAAGGGGAAAAAGGAAGAAATATTTATGATACATTAGTATCAGATGACTCAATCTTCTATTTAAACCCAAGTTAACTTTATTTTAAAGCACTGTACTTTTACTTTATTATAAAGCACTTAAATCTACAAAATAACATTCAGAAAGTTCCTACTTAAATCTAGGCTAAGTGTTACTATTTCTATTTCTACAAGAAAGCCAAGGTACAAAGACATTTACTTTCCTGAGTAATTCAACTCAGGATAAGGTTAGAGCTAAACCCAACGGTTATTTCCACCAACGCCACTCTCCAATTCTCAGGGATCTCTGAGAAATAACACCTTTTCTACACTGCTTTTAGTAATCTCTTCAAAAGCAAATATTTTTGTGCTATTATTTGAAGTAATTATCAAAATAATATTTTTGAAAGGACGTGAAAAAAATTTGTTTTTATTTTTTTTTAATCTGAGAAATGGAATTCTTACTAAGATTGTTTTTTTTGCTTACACCTGGTAACTAATTACCAGTTTGTTTTTCTACAGTAATAGAAGTTTACTACAGAATAACCTGAACTGGGTGAGAGACGAGAATTTTGTATTATGTTGCCTGTAAGAGATCTAAACAGATGTTTTAAAAATTCTATATCAAATGAAGATTTCCTGGGAAAGCAAATATAAATGCTACTATTAATTTAACTCCTCGTCTTCAAAACTACGATAGCTTTGGCTTATGCTGATCAACTAGGCATACAACAGATTTAAGACATAGATGTTGTATTAAATAATTCGGTGTTTCATAAATAAAACTCGACAATGAAAATGTCCAGGAAGGTCTACCTGAAATCCCTCTGTAAAACAGTATTATTGCTTCTGTTTAAATTACCACCCCACTGGACTCCCACGTAGTTGACTGCGATTTCGGTCCTGGAATAGGCTGGACCAGGTGGGTTAAAACTCTCACCAGGTATGTGTGCATGTGTGCCCAAAATCTCAAAAGGAGAAGGGACTGCGGCGTGGCCACCCCTCACCGGGGGTGACTTCTCGCTTTGTGTCTGTCTGTCCACCCTAATTGGGGCTGGCCAGCAGCCCGGTGGTCAAGGTAGTCAGACCACGCGTGATCAACCACCGTCTGAGTCCCGGCCCCGGCGGTGTGAAGCACACCCGGGCGTGTGCGCCCCAAATGCCAGCAGGATGGGGAAAAGCAAGAGAAGGAACCGTGGCACGGCCACCCCACCCTCACAGGCCCCCCTCAGTTCTCTGCTGAGTCTAAGTGCCCTCTGGCAATTACGAAAAATATTAGGCAGACCCAGTGGCCTGCTGGGTGAGAGCCAGATCCCACATGACTGAAATCACGGTTCAAATCTCAGTCCTGGGAGCTTAAAAAACACACCGGCTACACGTGCATGTGCCCAGAATCCCAAAAGAATAGAGATACAGAAACGGAAAAGGGGCTGTGGCCATGACCCACTGGGACAGAGGGTGCTTGCTCCCCCTCCCTCATCTCTGACAAGTGCACGTACTCTCTGGCATTTATTTAAAACAAAAAAAATCCTAATTAAACCATGTAAGAAAAAACTCTCTCCCGCTCTCTCTTTTTTTGACTTCTGCTATAAGGTGCATGTGCTCACTAGAGAGAGATGAGGGGAGATCCCTCCTCAGGGGGACAGCCTCAGCCCAATCGCCTCTCCGTTCTTCTCTCGGGATTCTGGGCACACACACGGCCGCGCCTGGTGTGTTTCTCAAGCTGCAGGAGCCCATTCTTGAACCGCACAGCTGGCCGTGTGGGAGCCAGCAGCCTTAATTTCCACACCTGCTGGAAAGAGTCTTGTGTGAACTCAGTCCGTCTGATCCTGAGTCACCACACTGACCTCTGGGATGAGCGTTCCACACTGGGGGAGAGCATGAGATTGTAACACAGAATAAATACTGCAGGGCAGAGGCACTGGGGCCACAGGGACGAGAGCCACTGATCGTTCCTGAGCCCTTCAAGGACAACACCTATTCCTTACCATGTTCCAACAGGGACAGGAGTCTGAAAGCTTGGCCTTGAGCACCCGGCACGGCTCCAAGGCACTAGGTTGGGTCCTTTATCCATTTTATCTCATTTAACACTCACAGGTCTTGCCTCTACGGCAAATGTGTGTTACAGCTGATAAAACAGCTGAGATTTAAAAACACGTGAAATGTTTCTCTTACAGTCAAGCTCCCCAATCTGCCTGGCATGGCTCTGTTCTCTGCCCCTTTACTGAAAAGCTGTGCTGGGTGCTGGGCCTAACTGCTCAAAGGGATGGGAGCTGGAAGAAGGGATGGCAGAACGGGTGTTCTTATACACAGAAAGAAACTATTAAAATTACACTGACTTGGGCCCAGCAGTTAGTGTAATGGCTATGTCGCTGGACTCCCACGTAGTCAACTGCGGTTTGAGCTCCCGACCCGGTGGCTTAAATTCATGCAGGGCGCGTGTGCGTGCGTGCCCAAGATCCAAAGAGGTGAAGGGATTGCGGCGTGGCCATCCCCCCGGGGAGTGATTTCTCACTTTCTGTCTCTCTGACTCTTTCTGGCAAGCACATACACCCTATAGCAAAAACCTCTACAATAAAAAACAAAGAAACAAAAAAAACATTGACTTGGCCCAACAAGTGGCACAGTGGTTGGGCGCTGGACTCCCCTATGGCCAACCATGGTTTGAGTCCTGGCCTGAGGGCCTGAAAGTCATGTTGGACGCATTTGGATGTGCCCAAAAATCTTGGGAGGAGAATGGAGAAGGGACTGCAGTGTGGCCAGCCCCCCAGGGGTAATTTCTCATTTTCTCTCTCTCTAGCTCTCTCTGTGTCTCCGGCAAGGATATGTAGCCTATAGAAAAAATCTATCTAAAAATAAATGAACAGCATCAACTGACCTTGAGCATGAGAAATGATGAACAGCAAGGCTCCCAATAACCTGGTGTAAATACACAGCTGAGTCATTGTTCGGTCCTCGCGCTCTGCCGTCACCTCCGGCGGGTCCTGTTAGCGGCCGTAAGGACGAGCTTTCCTTACACCGGCCGCGCGGGCTCGGCAGTGACTCCGACCCCCTCTGCGTCCTCCAGATCCCTGTGGCAAAACATTCAACGGCAATAACGTAAATGACTGAGTTTCGGAAAGTTTCCCCAAAACGAAGAGAAAACTGATGCCCATGCACGCATTTAAACAACGAAAGATATCTTTAAAGATTCAAGTTATCCTGTTTAAAGAAAGGAGGGGCTTCAACTCCAAAGCCGACAGCGAGTCAGGGCAGCTCGGGGGTGGGGGGCAGAGCCAGGCCTGGGCCTGGCCGGTGGCTTGCTGCTGCCAGGGGGGCGCTAAGGCACTCACTACTACCGAGGAGATTCCGAAACACGCAGGACGAAATGGAAAAGGTCTCATTTAGCACACAAGCTGTGTATCAATGTTCCGATGAAAACATCTTGAATCTTTCCAAATGAGCCAAGAACATAGGTGTTAAAGCAAACTAACAGAAATGCTTTTTTAAAACATTTGCTAGTGAGCATGTGTGTGAGAGTGCACACGCACATGCACACGTGTGAGAGAAAACACCCCCGCGATCCCACCTCCTCCATTCTCCTCTCAGGACTATGCCTGGAGTGATTTTCAAGCTGCTAGGTCCTGGACCCATACCACAAGGCTGGCCATGTGGGATCCAGCCGCCTTAACCTCCATGCCACCGGCTGGCCCAGAAATATGCCTTAAATAAACTTACATCTCTAAAATATTGTTTATCTGACTTAATTAGGATGAAATTAAGCTTTTTTTAGGAAGAGGTTTTCACTACAGGGCGCGTGCGCTCGCCAGACAGAGTGAGACAGAGAGACAGAAAGCGAGAAATCACCCCCCAGGGGAGATGGCCACACCACAATCCCTTCTCCTCTCGGGATCTTGGGCACACACGCACACGCACACGCGCCCGGCGTGAGTTCTAAGCCAGCGGGTCTGGGATGCGAACCGTGGTCAACTACATGGGAGTCCAGCGACATAGCCATTACGCTAACTACTGGTTCCAAAATTGAGCTTTTAACAAGGATGACATGAAATATAACCTCTCCAGTGAGGTTTGGAGATTATGATATATAGAGAGAAAGCTTAAAGCCTCGAAGTAAAATGGTAACTGGTGGGGGGAGGGGCTCAGGGAAAAAAGTTCTACAGACACAGACCGGGAAGCCACCGTGTAGGGTAATAGCCCTGACTTGCCAGATATGTAGGGCGTCTATGCTTTGAGAACCCACATCAGAGGCTGTAAAGATGTATAATAATTAAACAAATGTAAAAATATATACACATAATAATGAAAAAGGTAACAAGAAAAAAGCTAGTCTGTCTCCAGATGAATGTATTTCTACTCTGCCACCCCATCCTGCCGCCTTAGGCAGTCTGAGTTTATTGATCTGACTAGAGCATAACTGAGTGAAAAGGTTCCTCCTTAAGCTCCATGCCACCGGCTGGCCCAGAAATATGCCTTAAATAAACTTACATCTCTAAAATATTGTTTATCTGACTTAATTAGGATGAAATTAAGCTTTTTTTAGGAAGAGGTTTTCACTACAGGGCGCGTGCGCTCGCCAGACAGAGTGAGACAGAGAGACAGAAAGCGAGAAATCACCCCCCAGGGGAGATGGCCACACCACAATCCCTTCTCCTCTCGGGATCTTGGGCACACACGCACACGCACACGCGCCCGGCGTGAGTTCTAAGCCAGCGGGTCTGGGATGCGAACCGTGGTCAACTACATGGGAGTCCAGCGACATAGCCATTACGCTAACTACTGGTTCCAAAATTGAGCTTTTAACAAGGATGACATGAAATATAACCTCTCCAGTGAGGTTTGGAGATTATGATATATAGAGAGAAAGCTTAAAGCCTCGAAGTAAAATGGTAACTGGTGGGGGGAGGGGCTCAGGGAAAAAAGTTCTACAGACACAGACCGGGAAGCCACCGTGTAGGGTAATAGCCCTGACTTGCCAGATATGTAGGGCGTCTATGCTTTGAGAACCCACATCAGAGGCTGTAAAGATGTATAATAATTAAACAAATGTAAAAATATATACACATAATAATGAAAAAGGTAACAAGAAAAAAGCTAGTCTGTCTCCAGATGAATGTATTTCTACTCTGCCACCCCATCCTGCCGCCTTAGGCAGTCTGAGTTTATTGATCTGACTAGAGCATAACTGAGTGAAAAGGTTTCGCTCAGTTACAGCACGATTACCCGGAATGATGTCTGCCGCAAAGAACCCGAGCGTCCGGTCTTTCCCCCTAAGAGCGCTGCCCTCCGTGAGGGCTCCAGAGGTTACTCAGCACCGAGGCGGTGAGGTGCACAGTGGGGTCACCAACACGTGTATGTCATAAGTGGCTCAGTTCTACGATCCTGGCCGTTTCTAACTTACCTACTACAAAATTAAACTGCTTCCCATAACAAAATACTGAGAGAAAAACTCAGTTTGTAATAGATCTTAAATCACTTCTTCTTCTTGAATGATTTACTGTAGTTCTAGGTTTTAAGTTCAAGAAACGTTCCTAGACTGTTTCCACGTGATCTCTCCCTTCATTTCTCCTCGCCCCCTAAGTGCCCCAATGGTTGGTCCAAGTTCCACTCTCAGCTGCCCCGCGTGCACCAGTGTCCACGATGGTTATGCTGTCCGGGTCCAGGTCCCACTCTCAGCTGCCCCGCCTGTACCGCTGTCCCCCCGGCACCGCTGTCCCCATCCAGGTCCCACTCTCAGCTGTCCTGCCCGCACCGCTGTCCCCGTCTAGGTCCCACTCTCAGCTGCCCGGCCCGCACCGCTGTCCCCATCCAGGTCCCACTCTCAGCTGTCCTGCCCGCACCGCTGTCCCCGTCTAGGTCCCACTCTCAGCTGCCTGGCCCGCACCGCTGGCCCCGTCTAGGTCCCACTCTCAGCTGTCCCGCCCACACCGCTGTCTCTGTCCAGGTCCCACTCTCAGCTGCCCTGCCCGCACCGCTGTCTCTGTCCAGGTCCCACTCAGCTGCCCCACCTGCACCGCTGTCCCCATCCAGGTCACACTCTCAGCTGCCCCACCAGCTCTGCTGTCCTGGGCAGGTGCATCGTCACCCCAGCCGGCAAGCAGAGGCACCTTCCGCCACCCTGGCTGGCATTCACCCACTCTCCACACTTTCGGTTTTATTTTCCGCTCAGTCACTGCTCACTAACAACATCTGTGAAGCACACTGTACGATGTCACAGGAACACAGCCGTGTGCCCATCCGCGTCCCTGTTTCCTCGTCACCTCATTTAAAGCTCACATGTGGCCTGTCTCACCAAGCGACAGCCCAGGCCTCCCAGGACGCGCACCCCAGGCCCTCTTGGAGGAAAGCTTGGTGCACGATCCCTTCCACGTAAACTGCACAACGTGCTACCTCCGGCCCAAGTCCAAATCCTGGCTCTGCCCCAAAGAGGAAAACCACGCTCTCCGGGGAGTTTCCTCTTCTTTAAAACCGAAATGTTCATCAGCCCATAGCTGCTCCGGGGATTCCATGAAACATGGCTGACACACACTCACCTCTACCCCTGGCCACACCACTGCGAGCGTGCTGCAGGTTCAGTACCACCTCACCCACCGTCACCGCCTCACTTTAACTTTATGGACGGGGAAAGGGAGCAGACTTTAAGGAGTTTAGCAGCGGTCACCCTGCTGGTCAGGGAAGTGGCAGGGAGGTCACAGGTCAAATCCTGGAGGGTGGTTCCCGAGCCCCGGCATGCCCCGCAGGACAGATTACGTGCATCACGTGTCAGCCAGCCTGGGGTAGTGTAGGTGCTCAATAGAATTTCCCTACTCACTGGGGCCAGCAGGTGGTTAAGGGATTGTATTCCCTCAGGGCTGATAATGGTTCGAGTCCCAGAACCAGTGGCTTGAAAATCATGCCAGGCCCGTGTGCGCGTGCCCACAAATCCTGAGAGCAGAATGGAGGAGAAGGAATTGCAATGTGGCCACCCCCCCGAGGGGCGACTTCTCATTTTCCCTCCCTCTCTCTCTCTCTCTCTGGAAAGCCAAGGTGCCCTCTGGCAAAAACCTGGAAAGGAATAAAGTTCTCTACGCTCATGCCATTTTTAAAAGTTTATTATTCTATGTGCTACAACACCTGCCGACCTGGCACAGGAAGTAACAGGCGCTATTCCACATGCAGGAAACATAAAAGTAACTGCCAAAGGGCATGTGCCCAGAGAGTGAGCGAGACAGAGCCCCCCATGCCGCACGGCCATGCCGCAGTCGTGTTGCTCCCTCCAGGACTTTGGGCATGGTTATGTGCATTGTTCCAGGTTTGTGTTCAGACCAGCAGGGTCGGGATTCAAACTGTAGTTGGTATGTGGGATCCGGCTCTATCAGTCGCTGGGCTACGGGCCAGCCCTGCGAGGACTTCTATAGGCTGAACCACGTGTGGTAACTTGCACAGAGAAGGGCGGACTCTGGGCTCAGGACTGTCAGGAGCACTGTCAGCACCAAGGTGACCACCGGGCCAGGAAGCCGCCGTGTCAGGCATGGCCACGAACACATTGCCATGGGAGCCGGGCCATTACATCAGAGGCCTCCCTGGCAGGAGCCGTGTTGGCGTGAGCATGCCAGCTGGGGCTGGGGTTGGGGGTGGGGCCGGGATGGACTGTGGCCTGAGGACCTGGGGACATGCCTGCCCCTCCTGCCCTGGCTCTCGGGTCGCTCTTGCCATGGAGGAAGTAAGCAGATGAAGGCTGAGGAACGTGGCCACGCCGAGATGGAACCGAGGGAGCAGGGACTCACTCGCCAGGCTGGGCAAGACAGGAACCACGTGAAAGCACCTTTGCTGGGGACACGGCCACACACCAGAAAGGAGGGCAGAGTAACCAGGTCTCCCGGGTCCTTCCAAGCACACCGTCCTGTGTAGGGTTCCTGTGCCTAATGCTAACTTTGCTCCTGAGCAGCCACCGGTGCCCCACTGCATGCACCTTCTAGACAAGGCACCGAACACACAGTGACGGCAGCGGCCGACAATGGAGGTGTTCGGACTTCCAACAGAGAGCTCGGATTCATACCATGACTTGTGGAAAGCAGGAGGGGACGGGCTGCCT